TTACTATTTTGCTAATGGATTCCGATCATAATATTTATTATGATATATATTCGGAGACGGAGGAGGAGGAGGAAGTTTTTAGTGATGTTGACACCAATGATGAACTCGTAGAGTACTCCCATTAACATAACAAGAAAAATTATAGAATATTAAATGCTACAGATATTCGCCAACTCATAAACGATGATATTTTGAAAATGCAACCATTCATTCGGTTGAAAAAGATGTTGCTTTAGCTCTTCTACGACACTATAATTGGAGTATTTCTATAGCTAATGATGAATGGTTTGCGAACGAAGCCAAGGTTCGCAAAGCTATTGGAATGTTATCTAAAAAGAATCCGAAAACTCTTGTAAAAAAAGAACGTCTTCGGATTCTTATCGTTTGACTTGTGGCATTTATTTTGAGGAATCTCTTTTTCTGCTTGTAAACATCCTTTTGTGAGAAATGTTGGGAATATTACATTAGTACGTCAATAAATGATCGTGGTCCTAGATGTCTTGTGTTATGTTGTCGTGAACCATTGTGTAAAATCATGGTAGGTGAAAGTATGATTAATAAGTTAGCCTTAGAAAAAGATAGATTGAAGTATTATGATTATTTACTTTGTTACGCGATTAAAGGAGCTCACTTAACTCGAGGATCGCAGAGTTGATTCAGGAGAAATTCGAGAAATCAACTGTAAGGATGAGTGCAGAGAAGAAGGAAGAAGAAGAGAGGAAGAGTATAACAGGAATTGTATTAGTATTCATGCATGTACTTTGTGTAATACATTGTATTTATATCTATTACATTGAATGAAAAATCAAGAGCTTCAGCTAACGGAAGTTAGTTATTGTAACAAACTCCAGGTAACTCTAACTACTTTTTGAATTCCTAACTAACTATAATAGCGGACTTAATTTGCCTCTTTTTCTAGATTATATTCCCTTTCTAATAATCGTGTATAAGTACTCCCCTCCAATAGAAGATCCTTGTCCACAAGGATCAAATTAGGGAAATTTTATCTGCAATACAGTAACCAGCTCCCACGTAGCTGCATCAGCAGGCATACCATGCCATTTAATCAGAACTTGTGCCACACCTTTGTTGCCTCTTTTGATCACTCTTCTTTATAAAACAAGCTCAAGGTCAGGGCAATAAGGACTTGCTAGGTCAATGCCAGGAGGATAACAAATTTAGGAGGGAACTTCATAACATTGTTTTAACAAGGACACATGAACTGTGGGGTGAATCCTTACACCAGCAGGTAACAAAAGAGTACAGGCAACTGGACCAATCCTTTTGATGATTTGAAAGGGCCCATAATACTTGACAGCCAGCTTGTGAGATAAATGATGTGAAATTTCTACTTGCTTGTAGGGCTGAACCTTCAAATAAACCCAGTCTCCCACTGCAAATTGCCTATCACTTCTATGAGAATCTGCCTGTTGCTTCATTCTGAGTTGTGCCCTTCTCAAATGATGCTTGAGCAGCTGGATTTTTAGTTCCATATTGATTAGTGTGTTGTCGACTTCAACAAATACTGATTCCCTGGAAGATAGGGCAAATGTAATGGTGGAGGTCTACCATACAATACCTCATAGGGAGTAGTATGTATAGCTGAGTGGAAGGAAGTGTTGTACCAATATTCAACCATAGGCAAGCATGAATACCAATTAGTAGTATCCTTATTGTAGTACTACCTTAAGTATGTCTTAAGGATCCTGTTCAGCACCTCAGTTTGGCCATCAAACTGAGGATGATATGTTGAAGAAGTGTGCCATTGTACCCCTTGCAGAGTGAAGAGTTCTTGCCAGAAAGAACTCAAGAAAACAACATCTTTGTCACTAATGATGGCATCAAGCATCCCATGTAGTTTTACTGATAAAGGCTATAGGGCACCCTTCTTGCATAAGCACTACTCATATTCCATAGCCACTTGCATCAGTCTCGACAGTAAATATTTTGTTAGCATCAAGTAAAGTCAGAACATGTGCAGTAGTGAGAGCTTTCTTCAGTTCTGCAAAGGTTGCATTATCTGTAGGTGACCACTTGAAGTTATTCTTTTTAGTTAGTTAAGTTAAAGGCTTGCAGATGACCTAAAGCCTTTAATAAATCTCCTGTAGTAGCCTGCCAAATCTAGGAATCCTCTTAGTTGTTTGAGTGTAGTTGGAGTAGGCCAGTTTTGCACACCTTCTATCATGTGGGGGTCAGTAGATACACCTTCTGTTGTAATGAAGTGACCTAGGTATTCAATCCTATGAACTCTAAAGAAATACTTGCTCTTTATGGAAAAGAGCTGGCGTTTGTTCATCTCTACAAATACAGTTCTTAAGTGCACCAAATAATCCTCCATGTTACTGCTGTAGATAAGTATATCATCAAAGAAAACCAACATCTGCTTTCTAAGGAACTTATAAAAGATGGAATTCATCAATCCTTGAAAGGTATAAGGAGCATTTGAAAGGCCAAATGGCATCACTAAATACTCAAAATGTCCAGAATCAGTCTTGAATGCAGTTTTAGGTATATCCTCCTTTGCCATCCTAAGTTGATAATAGCCAGATCTTAGGTCTATTTTAGAAAAGACCTTTGACCCTCCTAATTCATCAAGAAAGTATTTCACAATAGGGATTGAAAATTTGTTCTTGACTGTGTATTTATTTACGTCCCTATAATACACACAAAGCCTCTAGGTTCCATCTTGTTTCCCTACTAGAACCACTGGAGATGCAAAGGGACTACAGCTGGGTTGAATGATCCCTTGATCTAGCATCTGTTGTATCAACCCCTCAATGATATCCTTCTTATTTGAAGGGTATCTATAGGGTCATTTATTTATAGGTTCAGTACCAGCTTGCAACACAATCATGTGATCAAACACACGTCTAGAAGGTGGAAATTCAGTAGGCTCCTCAAACAAGCCGAAATACTTAGATAACAATTGCACTAATCTAGCATCTGTTTCTGGTTCTTCCTTAGATTTAATGCATGCCACTATTCTTCAGTATTTCCCATTGATACTATTTGAATTATACATAGTTGTGAAATGTTATCTGTGTGCTTGGCTAATTTGTCAGCTTCTTAAACCTTGATCTAGCTTCCAGCACCTCTGAGGAGATATTTCCTTCCTTTGTACCAGAATTCCATAGTCAACTTTCTAAAGTTCATTTTGATGTCTCCAAGTGTTAGCAACTATTGCACTCCAAGTACTACTACACAAGAGCCTAAGGGCAGTAGTAAGAGCTTTGCTAAAAACTCAGCTCCTTGTAGCAACCAAGTGATAGTACACATCTTGTCCACCATCATGTTTCTATTAGCAACATCCACTATTTGAGGGTGAGTATACCTGATCTTATATCCCAGGTGTTTGACCAAGTCAGGATCAATGAAGTTGTGGGAACTACCAGTATCAATCAGAATGCTCAAGGCCTTCTTAGCATGGTAACCAATCACTTTCAACGTTCTGTAACCCAAGGAGCCATTCAAGCCATTAATGGAAATCTCCATTTTTTTAACAGATTGATATGGATCTGGGGCATTGAAACTATCATCTTGCAACAATAGTTCTTGTTCTTACCCTGTATCTTGTATTTCTTCTATTTCTTCCAATGCTAATATGTAAATCTGTTTGAAATTTCTGCATCTATGCCCAGGTACATACTTCTCATTGCAAAAGTAGAACAATCTCTTTGCCCTTTTGTCATTCATTTCATCCAAACTCAATGTTCTCCTACGGACACCATTAGTATAAGATGAACTACTGAAGGTAGGAGTAGGTAATAATAGTTTACTAGTAGTTCCTGGCCCAACATATCTCTTGACTGGGGGTCCTGATGCATAGGAAGTTTGTTTGGTTGCATCTAGGTGAACCTCTTGCATGCTGGCTTTCCTGTACACCCATGACAATGTGGTTGGGTTGGTGAGCTTGACTGCAATATTGAGCTCATATTTCAAACGTCCAATGAAGCAGCTAATTGTATTTTCTTGGGATAATCTCACCCTATTCAGATTCTTCTCAAAAACAGCTTGATATTCCTTCACACTACTAATTTGTTTGATCTTTTTGATTTCTTCCATCGGATCATCAAAATCAGCCCCAAATATATCGACCAATGCCATGACATACTCATTCCAAGTAGCATGTTGTAGGTACTACCGGTACCTCGTGAAAGAAAGGTGCCATTGTATAGCTTCACCTTCCAACTGTAATACAGCTACTTCAACTTTTTCTTCAGCAGCTACCTTTTCCATAGAGAAGAATTGTTCGATTTTGAACAACCATGATCTCATATATTCACCATTAAACCGTAAGAACTCCATTCTAGACCACCTAGAAAAATTGGAATAGTGATGATTGCAGCTCGTAGGGTTTCTCTCTTGATGAAACCTCCCTTCAGAAGGTTTACCTTCATCTGGTAATGGCGATTTGTCCTTCTGGAATTCCCTTGAATTAGTCATTTGTTCCTTCAACTCAAGGATTGTCCTATCCAACTACTTCAGATGCAAAACTTCACCGGATAAAGCCCCTACATCAGCTATCAATTTCTGCATCAATTCACGTATGTCACCTGATTCTTCAGTTGAATTGTCAGTCGATCGTGTGCCTTTTGCCATGATTCCAAGGATCGATGGATCCGATACCAATGTTATGCGATTGCAGGAGCTCACTTAACTTGAGGATTGCAGAGTTGATTCAGGAGAAATTCGAGAAATCAACTGTAAGGATGAGTGCAGAGAAGAAGGAAGAAGAAGAAAGGAAGAGTAGAATAGAAATTGTATTATTATTCATGCCTGTAATTTGTGTAATATATTGTATTTATATCTATTACATTGAATGAAAAATCAAGAGCTTCCCTAACATATTCCTTCAGCTAACAGATTCCTTCGGCTAACGAAAGTTAGTTATTGTAACAAACTCCAACTAACTCTAACTACTTTTTGAATTCCTAACTAACTGTGATAGCTGACTTAATTTGTCTCTTTTTCTGGATTCTATTTTCTTTCTAATAATCGTGTATCATGTCCTTCCCCTGGATGTGAATATGCGGCGGAATTTGAAATTGGAAGTGAAAGTTATGATGTGGTTTGTGATTGTTCAAATAGTTTCTATTGGAATTGCTTGGACGAAATCATCGCCCGATTAATTGTGAGACTATTGCTAAGTGGAGAATTAGAAACTCAACGAAATCTGAAAATATGAATTGTGTTTTGATTGTTACTAAGAAGTGTCCTAAATATAAGAACGCTATTCAGAAAAATGAGGGATGTATGCTTGTAGGTGTGGTTATCAATTTTTTTGGCTTTGTTTAAAAAAAAAGGGTCCTTGTATTGATAGTTGTAATCGTTATGAGGAAAAAAAGGAGGTAAAGGAAGCCAAAAAATTAGTACAAAGATACACACATTACTTTGAGATATGGGCATCTAATGAGAAGTCAAGACAAAAGGCTTTTAAAGATTTAAATGAGATGAGAGATGAAGGTTTGAAGGAGCTAAGTGAATTACACAATTTACCTGAGACTGAATTGGGATTCATTATACCAGCTTGGCAACAGATTGTTGAATGTAGAAGAGTTTTGAAATGGACATATGCTTATGGATTTTATTTAGGGGAAAAGGAGAAGACAGAATTCCAAATTTTCGAGTACTTACAAGGGGAAGCTGAGGCAGGTCTAGAGCGACTTCATCATTGTGTAGAGAAAGAATTGTTGGGTCCTCTTGGATATACCAAGAAATTGGATTATACAGAGTACAAGAATTTTGAACTTTTTCGTTCGAAACTTATTGATCTGACTAAGGTTACTGGAAATTACTTTGAGAACTTGGTTACTGCCTTAGGCAATGGGCTGAAAGATGTGAAAAACTCAAAAGAATCCAAGAGGAAAAAGGGTAAGTGACATATGCAATTTGTTAAATGAAGATTTTGATACTAATATTTGTCAAATGTGTTTGGTAGGTTAAGCAAATTTAACCCAACAGATGCAGAGTATAAGAATATTAGATGAACTTAGAAGAAGTATTTTTGTTTTCTTAGTTTAGCTTAAATAGTCCAAAGTTTGGTTTGTCTCCATGTTTTCGTGCACAATTTATTTTCATTAAATTTTATCTGTATTCGATTCAGTAATCTAAAGCTTGGGTTGTTTCATATCTCAAGCATACTTTTTGGTCAAACTTGATGGGAGTCTTTGTAGCAACGATAAACAGGGCGGATCCACCCTTTAGGGTGGGGTGGTATGGCACCCACTAGTTTGGTAAAATTATCATATATTTATGTAAAAAAAAATTTAAACTAGATTAAATTTTGATCATGCCACCCCTAATCGCAAACTAGACAAAGGTGTCATGGCTGGTAGATCTTTTTGAAAGCTTTTCTCGTATGTAAAATTCAAGTTCGAATTTTCTTGAACCTTGTCAGATTTTCCCTTTTGTGTTGTGCTTTTATTTTCTTTGTTCAAGTCATTTTCCTTTTTGGCTACCTCCCAATTTTCTATTTGTCGTTTATTATATTTTTATATTTTTTCTCCTATTCTATTATTTTATCTGTGATCTAGTAAAAACTCTAAATTAAAAAAGAGCCTCCAAAATTTAAAATTTCCATAAAATAAGCATTTCTCTTAATCTCAAATCTTTTAATTTTTTTCTTTGAAAATCGAAAAACTTGGATCTTGATGGAAATTTTGGATTGGGATCAAATTAATTTTTATAATTTCTTTTTTTTATTATAACATAAAAAATTGTGCTATTCTATGGTTGTTAAATACAATTTGAATCTTTTTGCTATTAAATTATGATGAATATTTTGCAAGCATTGTCTACAAAAATATGAGATTTATGATTTAAATTTTTGGGATCTTGTAGCTTATCTAATTCTACATTTACTTATTCTTATTGGTAAAATTTTCTTATTGAAGATGTTATTTTACTTGTGCAAATTTATTTTTAGTATACAAAAAAAGATATAATTTTCTAGCAAAAATATTGATTTTATTTGTGTTATTAATAATAAAGGTGTGATTTCTTCTTTAAAATGCTAATTACATTTGCTTCTTGATGTCTGAGATGTAATTTTCATACTACAATAACATACCCAGTGAAACCCCACAAGTCGAGTCTGGGAAAGAGATGTAATTTTCATATTTACAAATAAAAAATGCTTGTTAAATTGCCTGAATAAACTAAAAAAAATGAACCAAAGAAACGTTCCGAACAAACTCTATATTAGTCATTACAAGGCATACATTAAAGAAAATTGTGGTACCCGCCACCTTTAAATCATTGATCCGCCTCTGACGATAAAATTGTCTCTGTGTAAGTAACCACTAATGCTTCCATTAAGTAGTTTGTCTACATCACACCCTTTGGATGTTGTTTTTTCTAATTTAAAGCTCATTGTTTTTTTTGTGTTTTTCTTTTTGGTTAAACTAATTTTTTTTATATAACCAAGTATATCAATATGTACAAATGACTCATTTAGACTAATGAGTCAGCTCTCAGTAATCTCTATAACTATTCTAATTGTTCCTTAACCAGCTAACTACTATAACTACTGACAATATCTAGTGCTAACATATTTAACACTTTCGAACCTATACTGGGTAACTATTCAGGCCATTCATTTGTTGTTGCCATTTGCCATTCTTCTGACCATAGATATGTAGTTGAAGTAAAATTTCTTTGATCAACTGCCTGCTTTCTCGTCTTTGGTTTCTGAACCTTCTTGCATTTCTCTCAGCCCATATGTGATAGATACTTGCTGCAAATAAGAAGCCAATGACGCCTGCTCTAGCTCAAGAGTTATTAGTTCTCTTGGATGCCCAAATGACCTCCTTATCCCATCTTCTGTTTGATCTCCTCTCCCCTATCCAGTGTAGCAACGAGCTCCATATAGACTTTGAATATTCACAGCAAAAGAAGAGGTGCTCCAATGTCTCCACTGCATTTGTGTTACACAAGACACAGTCCTGTACCACCTTAATTCCCCATTTCTGGAGCATGTCCACTGTTGATAACTTCTTATGAACTGTCAGCCATAGGATAAACTGATGCCTAGGAATTATTCCTTTCACTAAGACCAAGCTTTTCCATGAGACTTTTGGAAATGTAGGTGTAAAATATTGATAAACCTTCTTGATATTGAACTCCCCTCTTTCTTCAAATGCTTCAATGTCTGCATCTCAAAGAGTACACTTTTGATGAGTTGTACTCTACCACTGTATGATAGGAACTTAGTGGTCCAACATTGAACTCTAGCAATTATCTTTTCAACTAAGGGAAGGCATTGGTGAATAGAAAGTCCTTGAAGACAATGGGATACCCAAGTATTTGAATGGCAGCTCCCCAATAGTGAAATGCATATCTTGCATTATCTGAGCTCTAAACTCTTGTGTCACTCCTTCAACATAGAATGAACTTTTCTCCAAATTGGCTTTCAGTCTAGAAACACTAGAAAAGTGATCAAATGCTTGCATCATGAGTAGAATAGAGACCTTGTCTGCCCTGCAACACATTAGTAGATAATCAACAAAGCAAATGTGGACTATTTCCCTGTTTGCACACCTGGTGTGATAACTGAAATTAGGATTGTTTCTAAGTTGCTTCAAAGATCTATTTAGATATTTCATAGTTAGGAAAAATAGATATGGGGACATGGTGTCACCTTGTCTCAATTCTCTCTTAGCATGGAATATAGGAGTTAGACCACCATTCAGTAACAATAAATAACTGACTGTGGAGACACAGTTCATGATCAAATTGACCAGCTTCTGAGGAAAACCAAATTCCAATAGCACTTGTCTCAGGAAGTCCCAATTCAGAGAATCATATGCCTTTCTGATATCTACTTTTACTAGGCATCTAGGTGATACTCCTTTTTTTCCATAACCCTTCACTAACTTATGAGCTATAATCACATTGTCCAGGATATTTCTACCTTCAATAAATGTAGATTGAGATGGCCCCACCAAGTAATCAACCATAGGCTTAAGTTTTATAGTTAGCACCTTTGCAACAATTTTATAGACAGTACTACAACATGTTATGGGTCTGAAATCTTTAGCATATGTAGGGTTAGAGACCTTAGGGACCAATATGATTGTAGTACAGTTGACCTCCCTTAACAATTTACCATTGTCAAAGAATTGTAATATGGCCTTAACCATATCTTCTCCTACTGTCTCCCAGTGTGCTTTAAAGAATTCTGCTGTGAATCCATCAATACCAGGGGCTTTATCATTTGGAAGGTCTTTGATAGCTTAAATTATGTCTTCTCTGGTAACTAGTTCTAGTAATTCCTGTTGCTGGCTCAATGAAAGGCAAGGACCATCTCTGGCAATAGTCGTATCAATGCAAGGAAATATTGACTCTACATCTCCCAGCAGCTGCTTATAATATATCAAAAATTGTTGTTGTACCAAACCTGGATCTGAGAGTAGGATTCTTTGGTCATTGCAAATAGAAGAGATCATGTTCCTAGATTGTCTTGCTTTCAGCTGGGCATGGAAATATTTTGTGTTGGCATCTCCATATGATATCCATGTAGCTCTGGACTTCTGCCTTAATATTTGCTCTTGAATTTCATTCCATTTTTCTAATTGAATAAGTAATTCTTTCTCCTCAACTATCAACTGATTATTGAACATGTCATTGGCCATTTTCTGCTGTAGACTTGCAATTCTATTCTGTGTGTTGGTCATCTCTTTGTTCAACACCCTTATTTCACTTTCCAATGCCTTAAGTTTCATCCACAGTCTATACATATGACATCTAGTGAAGCTTTGATCCCAGCAATGTTTGACAGCTTCCTTAAATGAGTCATGCTTAAGTAGTACATTAAGGAGTCTGATAGGTCTTTTCAACCTTTGTCTAGGAATCACAATTCTGATAACAATAGGAGTATGATCTGAACATTCTGGATTATAATATACTGCCTCTAGGTTTCCATAGTCCTGGAACCACTTGTCATTACCAAACACCCAGTCAATATGGCAATAAATCCAATCATCTCCATCCCTCTTGTTACACCATGAATATTGCCAACCCTTTCTATTAACCTGGCCCAGAACAATATCAGTGACACAAGTTTGAAAGTCTATTGTTTCATTCACATGCACTGGCAACCCATTAACTTTATCTTCTGTGGAGAGTATAGCATTGAAATCACCAAGAATAATCCAAGGCTCAATAGTATAAGTGCTAATATGTCTTAGTGTCTCCCATAATCCCCTTCCGCCCCCTGCAATATTGTAGCCATATACAAAAGATATCTTGCATTGGAATTGAGAGCTCTTATTCTCAACATGGCAGTGTACTACTTGTGGAGTGCTTTCCAGTATAGTAAGAGCCACACAACTTTGCTTCCTACCTAACCATATTCTACCATTTGGGACTTGAGTATAATCAAAGTGAAAACTCCAATCCGTATCAAACTTGCTAATAATTTTATTGGCCTTCTGTTGTCTAACTTTAGTTTCTAGACACTCTATTAAGTCAACTTTATTCTTGAGCAAAACGTTTTTTAATTCCTTTTGCTTAAAGGGTTTGTTTAGCCCCCTAATATTCCATGAGCAGAAAATCATGGGGGTGGGGGTTTGGCAATAGGGCCATCCCTCTGCAACTTTCCACTGTTACCTTTTCTGTGTCCATCTTATTGCTTTAATACTTTCAATACGACTTTCCCAACGAGTTTGTGACAATGATTTAAGAGTTAGACTAGGTACACTATCCTTCAATACTTTCCATCGCTTAGTAGAAGATGAAAATAGTGAATATATACGTTGTACCACTCCAAAAAATGATATAGCTTTTGTACAAGAATTAGCCATATCACAAAGTAACAAATTTAGATTATGACAACCACATGGTGTATAAAATGATCTAGGATTTACATCAAGAAGTCTTTTTTGCACTTCTTGTTGTTTTCCCTTCATATTTGACCCATTATCATATCATTGCCCTCTTAAATTATCAATATCAAGTCCAATATTTTTTATTTCATCTATAATAACTTCAAAAAGACCTTTTCCGCTTGTATCATTTACTTTTAAAAATTCTAAAAAATATTCATTAATTTTTATTGGAGTTGCCGAAATATCCACACTCCGCAGTATAAAAGATATTTGTTCTTGATGACTTGTATCTGGAGTGCAATCAAGTATGATAGAGAAATATTTTGCTTCTATAATTTTTTTTTATAATTTTATTCTTAATTTCACTTGTCAATAAGTTTATCAATTCATTTTGTATTCTATGCCCAAGGTAATGACTATGAATTTCATCATGCTTAATTCGTCGAATATGTTCTTGCATAACAGGGTCAAATTCTGAAATCATTTCAATTAAACTTAAAAAAATTTCATTATTCTCTTGATATATCTTTTCATTTTTTCCTCTAAATGCTAAATTATTTTTTCCAAGAGTTTTGATCACGGCAATAATTCTTGACAATACATTTTTCCAATGCTCTCTATCTCTATTGATTTGTTCTTGAACATCTTTATCGATTGTTTTATCTTTTTGCAGTCTTATTTCTAAATCAATTCATGCAGCCATGTTAATAATATGTTCATTTGTTGTTTCATGAGTTTTGAGCTTAGTACTAATATTTCTCCAATCATTACTACCTTCACTAGCTAGTTTACTACTACAAGTTCCGGAACTCAAACTAAACAACTTACAACAAAAACAAAATACTTTATCTAAGTCTTTAGAATAAACTAACCATCTTCTATCATGTCTTTCACCATTCACCAATTTTTGAATATAATGTGTAGTAGAAAAATGTCTTGAAAATGTATCATTCGGAAAATTTGTGTCAATTATTCTAATTGGCCCATTTTCTACTAATAGATCTCTCAACTTTGTATCTATATTAGTCCATTGACTAGGATCATATATATTTATAGGAGTTGAATTATTTATTTCATTCATAAGCATCAATGTATTATTTTGAGGATCTATTTCCGACTTGTCACTTACTTGTTCTTTTTCTACTTGAATATTATTAATTTTCGAATTATCTAACTCAACTGAATTACTAACTTGCTCATCTAGAGAACACTCCCCCAACTTTTCTGATTCAAGATTTTTATTATTCAATAAAAATTTGTCAAGAACACCTTTTTGAGATTGTATTAGATTTTGAATTCTTCTTATTTTCTTGAGTTTTTCATAACCAGATTCACACTTTCTATTTGACATACTTATCTTCTAATAATAATAAATAATCTAAAAATGCACTAAATAGCAAAATATTAAATTTTAAATGAGAAAATAATAAAAAGATAGAATAAATAGCAAAATATTAAATTTTAGATGATAAAATAATAAAAAGATAGAATAATAGAACCTGGTTCAAAAACGGATAGCTTGATATGAAATTAAATTTCCTGTTCGAGTATGCTTGTTGTAACTTGTAAGACTTGAATCATGAAAATAGAACAAACAAAAATACTCCACTATTTCTTGAATCAATACACTGAACTCTGAAGTCTGAAGATCCAAAATAAAGCTTTGATCTTTGGCTATTGAAGAATGGAGTGTGATTAATTGAAGAACAAAATATAAAAATATAATATAGTGGTATAGTATTCTTCACTTTGCTCGACAAAGTCAGTTAGTCACGTTGTCCTCACTTCAGCAACTCCACGATAATGTTGGCTATTGAAGTTGAACCGTTGAAAAATGGAGTAAAAACAAAGTATAAAATATAATATAGTGGCATAGCTATTAGTGCACAGTGCACACGTTGTCTACTTGTCTTCACTTTGCTCAACAAAGTTTTGTGAGTAAGAACAAAGTATAACATATAATATAATGGCATAGTTATTAGTGCACAGTGCACAGCGCACACGTTGTCAGTTGTTTGCTTGTGTTCACTTTGCTCAACAAAGTTTTGTTTGAGAAAGTTGTGGACTTTTGGTCCACTAACTCAAATTTGTGTTCAAACTTTCCGTTTCATTTTATATATTTTTTTAATTTATATATATAATATAGATATAACCAAAAAATGGGCCCCCCATAAATGTGGGGCCTAAAGCAATTACTTTACCCGCTTTATGAACGGGCCGCCCCTGCAATAAGCGCGCATTGCTATTTGTGCTTCTGTTTATCTATTTCCTGGTGGTTCAATTGCACAACCTTGATCCCATCTTTTGACACTGGAGGATAGAAATTGAGTTTCATACCCTGAGTTTGAACTCATCAGTATAGCTCTTTGTTTATTATACCAACAACAACTTAGGATTGTTTGAGTGGCCCATGGCTTTGTTTCGGGGAAACACGTGATATGTGGGTTAGTCATACTTTAAGGGTCGTTTGGTTACTGATTAGAGTTATACAGGTATTAGTTATACTTGTATTAGTTATGCAGGTATTAGTTATACTTGTATTAGTTATGCAGGAATAAGTAATGCATGGATTAGTTATGCATGGATTAGTTATGCAGGAATAAGTTATGCAAGGTTGAGTTATGTTGGGATTAGTTATGCATAGATTAGTTATGCGATAGTTATATAAGGATTAGTAATATAAATGTAATGTGATTGTTATTTATTATTAGCTTACTTTATTTTATTAAAATTGTTAGTATAGTTTAAATATATATTTTTAAACAAAAAAATACAAGTTTGAATAAAAGGTATTCTTATCATTTTGTGTTTTAATACAAGTATTACTAATACATGTATAATTTATTCCACCTTCTACCCTGCATAAATAATACATAGATTCTTTCATAACTTATACATATATTAGTTATGCGGAAAAGAAAAACATGAACCAAACATTGTATTAGCAATGCTACATTTTATGTGAAAAAGAGGAAAACATAACCAAACATTGCATAACTTATGCTAGCTTCTATGTGGAGATTATTCTTTCCCTTTGTTTTAACCAAACAATGTATAAAGTTATCATAATTTTAATATATGGATAACTCCTCTCTAACCGGGTACCAAACGACCCCTGAGGGTTCGAACATTTTCGACACCAGAAAGTTGGTTAAAATGCATGATTTTTGTAGTGACAAACAAAAACTCATAAATTGACGTCAAACTTTTTAATATATTCAAATTCTCATAATATAGTAGTACTAAAAGTTTGTAGTAGTCTTTTTTATGTTAACTATATCTAGGTTAAGATTTAATTTCAACAATATCATAGTGCAAAATCATGACCAAACAGAGTGAACTTACCAAACACTGCAAAATCGTGATTGTTTACCCGAAAAACAGATAGAATTTAATTTATACGTAGTTCTAAGGATACGTGGTACAACTTGGTACAAATTAGAAATGTAAGTAGAAATATATCGAATGTTGACTGTAAAAAGGAATTAATACAAACCGAAATTAAGTGCGGAATGTTATTTATATGAACAAGATGAACCAATGTACAAAGCCGAAAAAGGATAATCTTTGCTATATGTGTGTAAATCTCAATAATTTCTGAATATGAGAGTGTATCAATGTATGCTTCTCTCGATGTTCCATGTCCCTCTACAGAAATGATACTTACTCTTAATATAGTGGAAGAATCCTACTCTAGATATAATTAAAAAATACATATTGGGGATCCCATGATAGATTAGTTAATTAGCTTTTCCTTAATTCCCGCAGAGATTCTCTCCCTTAGTGCGGCTACAACGGCTCTTTGTCTCTTAGCTTGATCTTGGTCGGTCTTGGTATTGGTCGATCTCCGAATATCGAGCTCGATATTGACTCGAGCTCGGTATTGATCGGTCTCTGGATCTTGAGCTCGATAACACTACTTCATCTTGTAGCTTGATATTGACTCGAGCTCGATATTGATCGGCCCTTGAATCTTGAGCTCGATAACCTGGCTTTACTTCTTATCTCGATGTTACAATGATGACCCTCGGTTCATCACATTCCATTCTCGATTAATTATACAAAGGGCAAACTCGGATTTGACCGTATACATATAGTCCCCTCGTTTCTCAGAAAGAATGTGGCGAGAAACGATATAACTAGATATACACTGACATATGCATTGAGCCCGATCATGACGTACGTGATAAATGTCCTATCGGTTCAGTTACCAAGGCATTAAATGTGTGTCAGACGATGGTCGGCCACTGCTGATTTTGAACCGTCATTGCCAAATCTATAAATAGCTCATCTCTTCACCATTTTTTACTTTCAAATTTCCAATCTCCAAATCTACTAAGTTCTTTTTTGTATCTTCTGAATTCTTCATATGCAAATCTGCGATTTTCACTGCTAACCTCTTCTTAGAACACCAAATCTTATCATCTCCCTCAATTTTTAACTTCAAATCCAAATGGCGAAAATGTCAAAACTATTCCTCAAAAAGAAAACGCTTCTTCATCATGGCCGACCGGCGACAAAACACCGGTGGAGCCACGACCTGAGGAGTGTGTTCTCGGGGGGTGTGTCCTCACTTCTGATTTAAGACCGATAAAGCCTCATCAGTTCCCGGTCGATGCGAGCCAGTATCAAGTTATATATGCTCGATAACTAAGAGATACCTTAAGCAAGTAAGGAAAGATTGCAACTGGGAGAGCAAAGAAGTGATGATCCCGACCCCCGAAGAAGAT